AAAAAAAAAATTTGTCCCGACGACCTATCTTCTATGCGCAAAAGGCTACCGTATTTAAAAATATGCTATTTTTTATTAAAATTCTAGGTTTTGTATTTTATTTTATTTTAAAATATTTTATTAGGGGAATAAACTGACTTTCATGAATATTATATAATTTCATTGACATAGAATAAAGTTCATAAGACATATGATATTATACTTATTAACATTTTTTACTTTTTTAAAGTCGAAAAAGTAATTTTTAAATTTGAGTTAGCTTAAATAGCCAATTTTATCATGCAACAAAAATCAACGAATAGTTGCCGAATGGGTAACACCTTGATCTTTAACGCCTAGGGTACGAGGTTCAAATCCGTTTGTGGCTCCTAAAATTTTGCATTTTTTTTTTGAGTTAGAATAGAATAATTATTTTAATAATTATTGAAAATTATTTTCAAATCATTTGTTATTTATCTCATTTAGATTCAATAATTTCAATAAATATAAAAGATCTTATCACTATAGTCTCTCTTCGTGAAAAGAAATTGATATTCATGTTATTATTATTTTAATATGTGGTTCTTTTTGTGGCTACGATTTATTTTGCCAACCCTCACTAGACCTACTTTTTTCAACGATACGTCAAATGATTCATTTAAGTTTATGATATTTAAGTTAATGATTAGTTTAAGTTATTACTCTTAAAAATCAAAAAAATATTCCTTATTCAAATAAAAAGTAGCTTAACTAGATTTGTCCATACAAACAATTAAAATCATTAATTTTTAATATTCTTAAATTATTTATTGTCGAATTAAATTTGATATGATAAAAGTATTCAACTACAAAAGTAAATAATTTTACTTTATAATTTATTAATTTTTTAACTCTATTTCTGTGTGCTACTACCAGTCTATAATATGCCAAATTTTTTAGTAATATGTTGCTATATAAATCATAAATTTAAAAAAAAAATGATTTTTAGTTTCACCTGAAGTTAACGATGGAGTTTTACAATTATAATTATATTTTTGATAATATGCTCAATTGAGTAAATCTTTTTAACTACTTTGGTTTGATTGGTTCATTTAATTAAAGTAAATTATTAAAATTAATTAAGTTCTGAATATTTCAATTGCAGAATTTTTTTAAACACCAAAAGTTATTAGGATATGATTACTATTCTTTCTATTTCAGTTATCTATTACGATAAAAATGTAAAAAAATCGAATTTTTCTGACAAATGTACTGTAATTAGTAATTATAAAATTTCCAGATTGCATATTAATCTTAAAAATTTCATTTTTTTCAATTTAATAATGTCAATTTCAAACTTGCAAGTTGAACTATAAGTTATGGTAACAAATTCATTTTTTAGCTTCGATGCGAAGCTGAGAAGGTATTTTTCATTAAAACTTTCACTTTAAAAGACAATAAAAAATAGGTTCAAAATGATTACCTTTAACATATTAAAAATCAAAATCAGTATTAATTTAATACAATTTTTTTTGTTCTTAATTATTTTTTTTTATATGTAAATACTTATTTTTTAATAATAAGTAATAATATTAAAACTTAGAAGTAATAGAAAAAGTTTAATTGCACATTTGAAAACATCACGAAAAGTTTATTTAGAAAAGTATATTTTTTTTCTGATGAAAGTTCCTTTTGTTTAGTGTATTTATTCATAAGTAACAAAATTTTTTTATTAAAAAGTATTGCATAAATTCCTTTAAATTTGTATACGCATTAAAAGTATATGAATATACAACTCCTTTTTATTTTTATAATATCTCCGTAAAAATTACAATATTATATTATTGAATACCACTTTCATACTCAATTTAATTACTGTAATTATTATGTATTCATATATTATAGTTATAAATCGGGGTAAAATTAAGGGAATAAGTGTTATTGTTGTTTTTGAAATAATCTACCAATTTCATTTTTTTCTATTTAATAATATTTATTTCAAACTTGCAAGTTGAGTTAAAAGTTATGGTAATAAATTCATTTTTTTTTTATTAAAACTTTCACTTTAAAGAACAAAAAGAAGTAGGTTCAAAATGATTACTTTTAACATATTAAAAATCAATAATAATTTGAAAATAATTAATTATAAAAATTATATAATATATAATTAAAATAATTACTAATCTGGATATAATTAAGGAAATAGGAGTTGATGTTGGGTTGGGTTGGTTACATTTTTAACTTTATAATGCTATAACTCATTGAAAAGTGTACGAATCAACACAATTTTTTTATGAGAAATAATATTTTTTAATAATCCCTTTTTCATTCGACATACTTTATCTTAATCAGGGTATTAATAAGAAACTAGCAGATAATGTAGCTTTTGTAATTATCCACCAATTTCTTAGAATTAAACACTATCTACTGATTTGCATCGAAGCGTTTCTTATGATAGTGATTTTAATCACTGTCAGATTAAATCTATACTGGACCCAACTATGCAACATCCCCACTATGCCGCGACCCCACTGTGTTTGGTTT